CCTATCAGAGTGAACCTGGTTATTACTGAAGCATTTTCCATCATAGAGAAACATATAAAATATTTCCTTTCAGAAACACAGACCCCCCAAAAAAGTCACTTCTGCACAACCTGACATGAGAGAGGAATCAGTGGTATTTGCTTCTGTCTCCCTCTCCCTGACAGAGTATGTTACCATGACTTTACAGGTCTCAAAGCACTCAATGACGCTGTTTGCAGAACTTTAAACATCCAATCAGAAGTTTCAGTTTTATTCTTTAGCTGATTTACTAATGTATCACTAGTAGTTTTTTTTTGTTTGTTGTTGAACTAGCAGCTTTCTGCATGCATGCCACTGATTATGTTTCATAGACTTTTTTGTTTAGGTTTTATCTGTATTTATTTCCACACACACACACACATAAATATATATATATATATATATATATATATATACCTGAATATTGTTCTTTGAACAATAACCATCAAAATGACCATTAATATCGAAATAATAAATCAATCCAAACAAAAACTTGAATGAAGGCCTCATATCTTAGCATGTCGGGCAGTGGGTAAGGGACACCTCCGGAATGAATTATGACACTGTGTCATTGTCTAAAATGAATGCTAGTTGTATGATTACAGAAAATTATCAGAGTTTTGATTTAATAATATATTGTATTATTATAGAGAAAAGTGAAGCTGCATGTTTGATGTATTTGATTTAATTGGACTGATATTTCCTCAGAAAGTGTTCATAACATAAAGTATTTTAAGTTTCTAATTAGTTTATTCGTTGTTGTTTTTGAAGCGGTTGTACAAAACGATATTGTAAAGTTACATATCCTCTATGTCTAAAATGTATAACCCTTCTATGAGAATTACAATTTGTCAAATACATTTAATCTAAATATCAAGGTATGAGCTACAACATTCTTAAAATGTTTTTATCTTTAACATTTTGTACGCTGCAATGGGTTTGTGTGCTCTGACTTTCCTCCTTTGACATTTAAATGAACTTCTCTTTGAATTATTCATTTAAAAGTTTGCAGAATAAATAACAACAATGCATCTTATATGATATCTAGATGGATAAAACATGTAATCACAGTTGAATTAGGTGTTTCAAGTAAAGGTCACAGCATTCATTTTGATGAAAATCTTCTGAATAAGTCACTTCAAAAGTTCCAATGAGTCATTAGTACACCAAAAATATATCTGATGCTTGTCTCAAATTAACTCTTTTTGAACCACAGTAAAAAGCATAATATTTGTTTTCTGATGTCTGGTAACTTGAAGCCGTACACAAGAGGATTCAGAACTGGAGGAATGAGAACAAACTCCAGAGATAGAATTACAGCCACAAATGGGTTTATCTCCTCCAGATTATAGCGACTCAAAGCAATGTCACAAAACCCTGTAATGGAATAAGTAACAAAGGAGACAATGTGTGGGACACAGCTCTGCAGCACATTACTGCGGAACTCTGCAGATTTTCTCCAGCACACCAGTACAATTTGCAAATAGGTGTAAAGGACGTAAAAGAAAGGAAGGAAAACTGTAACTATAGTCAAGAGCATCCCCAAAATATTGTTCAGCGCAGTGTTAATGCAGGCCAGTTTAAACACATTCCAGTTGGCACAGAACACTTTTTGTATCTTGTTGTCGCATAAAGGAAGCTGGGCAGAGAGGGAGACTAATGTTAGAAGGGAAAGGGCTGGGAAAATCCAAGCCAATGCCGACAACACAATCACAGTTTTTGATGTCATCTTCCTGTGGTAGTGCAGGGGATAGCAAACAGCAATATATCGATCATGAGCCATGATGCTGAGAATTGTCAGTTCATTGGAAGCATATGTGTAAATGACATAAATCTGAGTCAAGCAGGCCGGAAGTGAGATCAAATGAGTATCAGAGAGCAGGTCCATGAGAAATCTGGGAAAGAAACCAAAAGAGCCATAGAGAGAGTTGACAGATAACAAAGCAATAAAAGTATACATTGGAGTATGCAGTGTTTTGTATTGTGATATAACCAGTATCATGAGGAGATTAGCAGAGATAATAAAACTGTACAGCAACGCGCAAAAAGCGAAGGCAACAAAGCGATAAGGTCCAATGTTCACAAACATGGTGAAGTTCAAGTAAAAAGGCTGAGAGCTGTTTTCCATTCCAAAATACATGATCAGCAGTTCACTCTGTGAGACAAAAATCTGTGGTATCTCCTGATAAAACCTGTGAAAATAGACATATACACCGTGTGCTAGAATCCCAATCAACCTCCCACATTTCCGCAGAAAGACAAGAGATAGAAATCATTTCAAAACATTATTTTTGCTCCTGTTCTTCTCAATAAAAAGGTTTCACTCCATTGTATCAGCAGTTTAGATTTGAGGACGGATCTGTTGGAGCAAGTGGGGGTGATGATAAGAATAATGAGCCTTTAATGTTGCCCAGCCTCATGTGTTATCTGTTTCTGCTCTGGAGGGATTGTGACAGAGGCTGTCATTTTGTCGTGACCGACAATCACAACACAAAATTCCCCTGGTAAGACCCGTCCTTATGCAGTAACTAGTTTCACATTAGGTCTTTGTCATTTTGCCAATCAATCAAAATGTAAAAAATGACACAGTGACATCACCGCGACCACATTTGGGAAAAAGCAGTTCAGAAAATGGATGGATGGACGCAGTGACATAAAACTTTGGTGCCTTCAACCAGTTTTTAAAGTATATTTTTGTTCCCTCTTCCTGCTTGGTGATTTGTGTATTATAGTTTAGTTCTTTGTGTGTAAACCACTGTAATGTATTTGGGGCCCGGCTCACTGATATGCTGTTCACAACATCTGGCACACATGTAAAATGCCTGTTTCCTGTTTCTTTTCTGTGCTCTGGTGGACTGGTGAATTTAAAATTGCGAAAACATGTCAAGTCAGTCAATGGAAGCATCTATTTGGATTCCCTGTTATGACATTGAATGAAGTCTGTAGTGCATTAGTCTTAACTGTGTTATTTTCCAACACATAGTGTATTTATTCCAAGTAAAAAAAACATACTTGAAAAATCCCTGCAATATCTTAGTAAAAAGTATCCGAGCTCTCAACATTTACTTCTCTGCATCTGTAACTATTGGAGTCCAAGAATCTGAATGCTATAGGCCTATAAACTCCTACACCCTTCTATACACACCCTTTTCAGAAGCTTATGTTGCATATTTAAGCTTTTTGCATGTTTTTGATGAACAGGAACCCTTTGTTACGAATAAAGTCTGAACTGAAATTAGGTTTCATGCAAAATTAGGTTTTGTATCAGGAGAAAATGTGCATTGTTTATGGTCTAATGTGCTGTGGATGTGAAATGTTCATTCAGGATGCATACGCACTATATGAAAGTTCCAAGAGGGGCTTCACGGTGGTGTGGCAGTTAGAGCCGCTGCTTCACAGCAAAAGTGTTCCAGGTTCAGGTTTCACTGGCTAGAGGTCTTTCTGTGTAGAGTTAGCATGTTCTCATTATGTATGCCTGGCCACGCTCCAGCCCCCCTTAGAATCCCTGTAGGAATAAATGGTATAGACAATGGATAGATGAAAGAAACAAGGGTGTACTTTTTACTGTTTATTTTGTTTTTTTAAATGTATCTATATTCAACAAGAGCATCACTATCATCCACTTCTTGGACTATCCATCCATTTGCTTTATCCGCTATCCGATTTAGATGACAGTCAGTTATCACAATCACTCCTAAGGTCAATTTAGAGTAATTGGTTGGGTCAACGTGCATGTTTTTGGAGGCCGGCATGGTGAACTATCTTGCTGTGCGGCGCAGGTGTTGAACAGCACGCTTTTATTATCACCCTATCCCAAATGTCTCAAAATAAATGTTGTAAGCAAAGATCACTGTACCAAAACAAAGGAAGACATGATGCATAAAAACAGACAAACTGTGGTATAGACTCTTAACTCAATGCTGACTCACCCACTCGGTTTAACTCAGGGAAAATAAGATTGAAAGGTCAATGGTTAAAGAGCTTGTTTATTAGTTCAGAGCTCAGACTGCTTCCAGAGGGGTGCTTATTAACTAATTGCTCTCAGAGGACACATAACCACTGGACCTGTTGACCACCTCAGCCATAGTAACAGAATGCAACACAAGAAAAACAGTGTCCCCTCGAAGGTATTAATTACGAAAGTTTTAACTTTGTAACTTTTAGTGTTAGCATCTGAATAAAACTGGGATTATATTGGCTATTGGCATTTATTTAAAGAACTGTATAATTCTATAGTGTAAAGGTGTTTTGTTTTGCACGACATCCTTCGGGGCCAGCACACACTGACCAATGGATGGTAATTAGCTGGCTGGAGATGGAACGGCTCCCCGAGGCCGGCTGCTTTCCATTGAGACCAATTCAGGGATGTCACAGTAAACATGTGCAAGTTGTTTTGGAGGGTTGAAGTTGTGTCACTTTCGTTGCATCATTGGGACTCTAAATGATCACAGATTCATACCTCTGAGGTATCACGTACGCGTAAAGACAAACGACTCCTTTTTAACTGTTTTGAAACTTTGTACCGTGACTAATTGTTTTCCAAAATGTCCTGAAAAACTAAGTCAATGTCTTTTAACAAAACCATCCTGAATGAAAAGCGAGGTCGGTCCAAAAGGAGGAATGTTTAAAACTACACTTAAAAAAGGTTAATTTAATGCTAATGTCCTGCTTTAAGTAACAAATATTCTGTAAGGAATGATTAACTTGTTACCTAACAAAAAATACTCACTAGGTTACACATGTTGAAAAAAAGCAAAAGAAGAAAATGAATAGGAAAAGCCTGGTGTGGTGAGCTGGCATAGGTCAGGTACAGTGAACAAGAGAAAGGGGTCATTCATACTGCTGAGGTTAGACCAAGACCAATGCCTTTACGCTGACAGGATGTTTTCTATTGGACAAAATCCCTGAAACTTTGAGTATACAGCAGGGCAGGATGGAGTTTTTGACTGCAGTGCAGTTGTTCTGCCACTTCTAACATTCTTCCTTATGGAAAATTACATACAAGTTTAGCTGGCAGATGTGGTTTAAACTGACTTCAATAAAGATTTGGTCAGATATGGAAATATTTTGTTAAAAATGGATTTTAATAGAGCT